GCTCCAGAAGGGAGATTGGTCACTCGCTCACAAATCAATTCGTTTTGTGAATTTGTTTTATCAATAAATTATGTTCAAACACGAAAACGTTTATAGTTCGGTAGATCGTTTATGATATTTACGTTCAAAGCGATGTCTCGCTCAGTTTTAAAGTTCGTCGAAAGTGGTTCGATGTACCTGAAGAAAATCCGTATCACTCTTAAAAGAAGTTACTAGTCAATGCAATAAATATCGCCCTATATTCAGATATTCCGTTTATTAAGTTCGTTCTCTGCATATACTTTGTCAATTCCAAGCAGAGCGAGTTCTTGTTTTGATTTTCAGGTTTTGGTTTTGTCAGTTTAGCATTTTTCTTTTCTGTAGCCTATTAATTTTCAACGGCCATCTGATTATAATTAACAGTAGGTGCTGTGTTGTTCTGTCACTTCGTTTTGATTAACGTGTTAGAAAATATACTTGCTTTGTAAAAGTACATTGATGTGTCGAAATCCGTTTTTTCCTGATTCAACCGCTTCCAAAGAAGTGTTATGCGTTGGTTTGAACAAATGGCGTTTTTCCTGTATGCTTTACAGCTATTTTGCTTCACCTCAGCGTTTCAGCTTACTAAGAAAATTAGATAATGACGCACTGTTAAATCAAAATCGGTTCTAAACGGCCATACAGATGTCGCAAGGAAGCATTTTCATGTTGTCCTTTCAGATTCCTTGCTGGCAATGAAATACAGAACTACATCACAGAATCTCTCTACACGCTCCCTCCACGGATTTTGATGTATCAACTGCCTTCGGTTCAGGGGGCAGATTACAAAGTAAGCGTACTGTTCTGTGTTCACAATAGATTAACATAATAGCTACAATAACTCTACCTCCATGTATAACTGAATATGATTTGAGATATTTCATCTGCAGGTTTGAATGTTCCTAGACTAATCGCATAACATATTGTCATATTACGGTTTTACGTCACATGGCTTTTCTTTTGGATAAGTTGTCTTACTGTCATGCTCTGCCACCTAAGCGATCCTTTACCTTGTTCGTTACTGTTTTCCAACGTACTGATGGAGAGAAACTATGTCACCATATGCTAAGGAATGTAATTGAATGATCAGAATACTTCAGTGACAGAAGATAACTAACTTGGTGCAATAAAGAATTTCGGCATGATTCACACTGGTACAGTAACGCAAATGCCAAAAGTCTGCCCATGCACCTGTACTCACGTAAGATCATGTAGGCTGAATATTGACTGTAGAAGTGAGGCACTTTGAGAAGTGTTGACGTAGGGAACTTTGATAAAACGTGACTTTCTGATTCAATCCTTTTTCAAGTCAGGTATCGTAATTGCGATGGGTTCGCTAGATGATTATAATGTCAAAGGAGAGGCTAATGAGTTTGACACTTCGATAAGTCAATTCAGGGGACAAGACGGGACCACAGCGCCTTGTAACCTGAACCCGTTCCAGTTAGTGGATTGTCAAAGGACTAGAATCGTTGAAACCCCTGAGGCAATAGCTCTTCCGACCGAAAAAACAAAGGGTTCTGAGGACAAGCGGGCAACTCGATGGATAAATGGATCGATTCTCCTTGTCGTCGTAATTAAAAGAGCTGCTTGTCTAGGCAAAAAGAATATGCGAGAGGCTTAATCTATTATGAAGGAGTGAAAACATCAACAGTGCTTCGTTACGAGTTTGCCAGTCGAAGAAATCCCACTGCATGACACTCATTATATGGAATCGAGTTCCAACTGTACCGTGTTTTCTTCAAACCAATAGCTATGGCTAGGTAATCGACGACTTCAGAATCCTATCATGAATATCCGATGCTTTTAACTACACACTCTGGTTTTTCATACTCCTGAAATAAAATTTTTATACGATATTCTGTATTATCCACATTATAGGGGAAATGCATTTAATAAAATACATACGCGCAGATGCCCTAACGAGTCGTAATGGCAAGTTATTTACATACAGTGGCAAAAGGCAAATCGACACAATTTTTCTCTATATACCATTCAAGTACATATCATTACTTCTGCGCTAAAATCCATTGGATTGAGTGATACATTTTGGCTTAGATTCACAAGTCGTAGGATTCTACATACTTTGAACCAAATCTAATAAATTTTTTTGTCTGATTAACGTGAACTGAACATGCTCACCACACACATTTTTGTGTTTAACCATAGGACGAAAACCATCGCAAAATCACTAGATTCAACCTTTACTTCATACCTACATAAGCTAATCCGGCACATAAAGAAAATATCCGGAATCACCTTCTTCTAGCGAAACGAGCGCATTTCAAACATCACTGACAATCCTATCAGTGAGGCTGAAAATCAGAAAAGTCAACTTCAATATTATGAACAAAAAAGGCAAATGTCAGCGTTTTGTATAACGAGATATGTCAAACTTTGGTCAATGATTTAAACAGGAATTTCCCAGACCTTGACTAATAACCCAGCAGAACATCTTTTCTGCTGTCATCATTCATCAAGCGTCGTTTGAATCTCGTGTCGACCGGGCAAGCCAGTTGTCATATTTAGTCAAGAAGACATATAACATGAATATTCAATATTTTCTTTAGGGAATTTTGCAGGAGCGGGGTTCCAAATCTTTCTTACTAGATTTTTATACCAGTGACTTCTTTCAGAATGAAATGCCATAATAATTATATCGATCTCCTTCAGGCTTTATTTCATTTAACTCACGAGCTGACCCTTTAGGTCTGTGAAACGTATACGGTTTCGGTAGCCACTCTCGCGCAGACAATCTGCTACGCATTATTCTATCGTCCTTTCGTACGATTCACTGATGGAACCTTAAAATGAAAACAAAAGTAGCTGGCTTACCCTCTCTTAGAAACGCCACCGGTATATTTTTGAATAACTGTTTGTCGCAAGCGGGTTGATTTAATCAGGTCAAACTAAAGCAATTTCATCATGGCTTGTTATTTACCATATGACGCGCTGCGCGAAGCGCTGCATTCAGCAAAGCAGTATATGCAGCATTTTTAAAGATTCATCGCTACCTTTGATTAACGAATTAGGAAGTGCTCTGTACAATAAACTTTCATAACATTATGTCGCAGTTATGCTGCCGGATTTAAGAAAACTAGTTTCACAAAACGATCATAAAAGTTATGCATTCTCTGGGGCCCATCAAACCCCGTTATGGTAACCCAGGTAGGGAATTTTCCGCCTCGTGCAAACTACGAATATCTGACCACGCCCTCGCGAAGCGTTTAAGATTCCCTGTGCGAAAGCACGGCAAAATATCCAACAACATCCGAACCCGCCTGCTGATCCGTAAACACAGCGCATACTATTCAACTCATTTTTTCTAAACGTAAGAACTGCGAAAGTTTTTACAAACCACTATTTTTAGCTGTAGTGCTATGCTCACTTCTCTGAAGGTCATAGTCTTCAGCAATTATACAGATGTATCTGCTCAAGCAATAGCGTAAACAAACGCAAAATCAGTTGGAGGAAGGCTCCAGCCAGGCTGTACCATAGGCACAAAACCCAAACAGGGCCAGGTCGATGTCAGTTATGGAAAAATTTGGAACCCTAAAGCAAAACTGCAAGCCATAACTACGAAGTTGTAAGTCAAGCGCTGAAAGTAATCTGCAAAGTACCATTATTATAACAAAATTTCTGAATACCATTCTTAAACAAAACAATGCAAAGCTTTATACCAATTTTCGCACTTTACACAGAGTTACACAAAAAGCATCGACAAACTGAACTGACGAACACGTTGTATGGCTGAGAAACCATTATCCTTTGTTGTACGTGTTTCCTGAGCCCTTTGGGTTGTCTAAATGAAAATCCTGCATTAAATTTGCTGGTTTACAAGCACGTTCCACTGTAAAATTGTTACCGTCTCGAAATTCGTCCCAGGCTCGAAGCCGCCTAACTTCGTCTTCGTCATCACTACTGCCTTTTTCTTGCTCAGAAACTTCCCTAGACAGCGACTGCCGATTTTCGAGTCTAAATTGTAGAATAACTATTAAACTTCTATCAAATTTATGCTGGTTTTGAGACTAATTCCTAATTTAATTTTTTGACTAAAACCATGATAAATATTGTAGAAGAGAACGGGATGACAACCAGCAAGCAATAAAATAATTTTCTTAGCTCTTGCATAGAGCCTGTGGTGAAGAACGAACTTCCCTTTCCACATCATGAGTCAGGATGGCATCGCCTTACTTTCAAAAATGACGATTTCCAACTGCAAGGTAAACAATGCAATACCCACCTGCACCCTTTTAAAAAACAGCTGCATTCAGTTTTGCCTATCTCAGGGAAAAAAACTTATTCGACTTCCCCTGATGACGTTAACCTGATAACTGTTACATAATACCTGTTAACATGACGTTAACTTCCCCTAATCAAAGGCTTTCTGTTTTAAAACTTTTAATCCAAAAGGTATGTCATGTCTGCTTCGTCTTGAAGAAAGCCCTTTTTGAGGCTAAAAAGTTGGCAGTTTAAAGAAAAGGTTAATCGGGGTTGTGAAAAATCTTTGCTTTCTAGCGCAAGCTTTCGAAGCAGAACAAAAACAACAGATAAATGATCGCTAAATGAAGTAGCTAACTCTTCCAATGAGAGGGTTTCACAGTGTACTGCATTACCTATTGCTCATAATTGTTTATCAGAGCATTTAATCAGGCCACGACTCCATATATTTGAAAACCTGTTGCGCTTGCTGAAAATCAAGTCATTTTATTGACTAGAACCTTAGTTATCACCAACGGCTATCTATAAACAGCTATTATTTTTAATCGCACAGAACAGGCAGAAATACTGGCTGATAACTTAGAGCGTCTTAACATTTGGCAGCTCCTAGACAATGGAGAAAAAGGGATATGCAATCTAACACGATTACAGAAGGAAAATACTAAAATAATACACGGGCGTACGAAATGGCGTCTTAGGCATTTATGTGAAATGCACTAAGTGATTAAACTTATTTATATGCCTGTTACAGGCTACGTCTTTCCAAACGAATCCAAAATCAAAGATGAAGTATTCATTTGCTGGTTTAGTACAGTTAGTAGCGAAAAATGCTACCTGTTGGCTGCCTGGCGGCGCTGTGGAGCCAAAACGCTGTCGTACCACTGTTCAGCTGTTTGCTTGGGAAGAGAGGGGTATCCGGCGCCAAACACCTTGTTCATTATCTGTATCTTTGGAGGAATTTTGAATTCCATTACTTTCTAAAAGACAATAAACGCGTTACTGATACCCATCGAACAATATGCAAAAACAGTCAAACGTACCAACGGTCGTTGCTTCTCTGGTGACGACTCGCGTAGAAAGTCCTCCGTGACTCGCCCTTTGACGCACTGCAACAACCTTTTTTCATCTAAAACAGGAGAACACGAAGCGATTAATGATCACCCCAAACCATCGGTGCTTTACCATGTACCATCTCCAGTTCGTCTACGGTCTGCAGCTGCCAATACTTCAATTCAGCCAGATAAACTTCGCGCTGTAAATAAGC